GGGAGGCATCTGTCCAGATTCCCCCACAACTCATTTCACAGAGGCATCCAGTCACTGCTGACCAGGGCTGGATTGGAAGTAGCAACCCAGAAATCAAAGGCCCCTAGGATCCATCCGGCCTTTTTTCACCCACCCACATGCAGAGAACTGCACATTCTAGCCCAGGTCTGACATGCTGGGCCATGTTGTAAGTATAGAAGCATGTTTTGCCAAGTTTCACCTAAGCAGATGTGCCCTGGCTGTGGGGTCATCACCAAGAACACAAGCATTTCATACCATTTTTCTTGGGTCCTCTCCACACCACAGCATCATCCGGCTTCTCCAGCAAGAAGCCAATAGACATGAGGGAGATGCTTTTGTCCTGGTCCACAAAAACTGGCACCCAGCCACTATCACATTGGTGCACATCCTTGTCCTGGACCTTAAGCATGCGAGGTATGCTGGGGCCACACAGGTCCACATCCAGGATCCCCACCTGCAAACAAATGGCGGTACCAAACTAGTAAGCCCATATGACTGTGCCACAGAGCTCCAGCTCTATCCTCACACAAAAGGAAACTCTCCATTGATTTCTGTGATATGGGCCACCTCATGGAAAGGACTTACAGGCCTCAGCATCACATCGCAGGTCTCTGCAGCTCTGAGCCCCCTCCCCTAGATGAGTCAGTCTGGTCTGGGACAGACAGCAACTCAGCTCTGGGTCCAGCCCTAAGCCCAGGGCCAAAGCCAGAGCTGAGCTGCTGACTGCCCCCAGCAGGACATGCCATTTTTTTCCTCCCATGACAACTGGGGGGAAAAAAAACCTGATCTTTAATTTGAGTAAATACAGTATAGTAATCAAACTGCCATGTGGAACTTTGCTTACTTTCTTCCCAGCATGCCGTAAAGCCAAGGCCAGCTCGGTAGAGATGGTGCTTTTCCCTACACCTCCTTTTCCTGAGAGCACCAAAAGGATGTGCCGAACCCCAGCCAGGTTACTTTTCTCTGCGAAGGCAACATAATAATGAGATATCTTTACTCAGCACCATGCTGCACTGGGGAGGCCCGAATGGTAAGTCAGCTAATTTAGAGACCCCACCAGAAATCATCCCCATTAACACGGGTTTCAAACAAACAGCTACCACAGTGAAGGTCAGCTGAGCATTTCTAGAGGTTTAAAAAAACAAAACAAACACTGGGTTAAACTGGGCCAAACAATAGTGGATTCTGAGGTAGAGGCACTGACTGCAATAGATCTACTCCACACAGACCAGCAAATAGCTTGTAGATGGTAAGAATGCTAGCCTCCATTGAGCAAAGAGCTTAAGCCGACTTCATTGGGACTTGCTATGCTTAAGGAGGATTAGCACCATTTATCTGGGACAAATTTCAACATGGCCACTTAGACTGAAATGCCCTGGGCCCTTCGTCTCTCAAGCAAAGTCCCCTGGGAGTTTCTTCCTTTCTGTGCCATGTAGTTTTTTGTTTCCGCTGCATATCTCAGCATCTTATCTTGAATATTCTTCAGTCTGTCTGTTTGTTGCATTGGCAACAGTGTTTGCTCTGGTCTAAGCAGTCTATTTATGACACTGCCACTATGTGCTTTCAGTCTACAGGGAGAGGCTGTGGACACATTCTTCTTAGTTTCTTCAAAGAAAGGGTAACAAAAGGGCCTTGGAGTGGGCTGGCAGATACAGGATAATGAACTGAGATTGCTGATCAGAGTCCAAGAGGAGACAAGAACCGCACAACACCAAAAGCAAGAAAAACTCATAGTGGCAACAAATACCTTCATATCGACATTAAAACAACCAGCACAGCTTTATTTAAAATCAATTATTTAAATCAAATTTTTGCATTTGCATTTCAGTTATTTCTAAAGACAGGCATCTTCTCCAATTGGTTGACACAATTATTAGAATGCATAAATTTACAGCTAAATAGATCCTTCATAATAGAACTAGTACATCTTTTTGCTACCTAAGAGAATACTCTACAACTTAAAAAAACCCATTATACAACTTATTGTATTTAGATTCTCATTAAGTTTATATTTCAGCCTATTGCTATTTTACCAAATTAATTTTCACTTGGGGTGTGTGTGTTAAACAGCTGAATTAGAAAGGAACCAAGCCCTGAGGAGAGATATAGTGGTAGTTCCTGGAGTCAGGGGCCAGATCCCAATGCCTGGGATGACTTTGCTACTGCCTTCCACTCAGAGGCTCAACTCCTGGGACTACCCACAAAACCTACAATTCAAAATTTTCTAATAGAGATTCATGGATTCAATAAATTTATTTTTATGTTTCAGAAGTTTAAGAGGGTCAGGGCTTGGCATTTTGTATTAAGATCAGATTTCCCTTTACTTCGTTTGCTTTCGGGGTTTTTTTTAGAAAAAGTCCACTTTAAATGACAAACTTAGAAAAAGGATTAAATAAAAACAGAGATGGGGGGGGGGGGGGGGGGGGGGAAGAGGAGGAAAAATCCCACCACTTTTTTAGCAGCACTGATGGGAGAAGAACAAAATACACTTTGGCGCTTTTCCCAGAGCCCAGAATGTAGTCACAACACAGACAGTGGCAGTGCAAGATTGGCCACCAATGTGTCTCAGACTTAACCTGAAGAGAACAAGCCTAGGGTCAAGAGAAACTGAAGACAAATTCTGCCAAAGGAATCTGTAGCTGGAACACCGCCATTCTGCCTCATGGCAATCTAAGGACTCTGGTTACAGCAACATACTTCTGGAATAAAAAATATATATATATTTAAGCCCCACTGGACATCCAGGACCAAATATTAGACCTACAGAAGAATGTCTTGCATTGGAAAGCATGCCTAACAACTATGCAGCTGACCCAATAAGTGTCATGACCCTAAGAAACCACTTTCCTTTTGTGTGATTCCTGGGCCACCATGGTTACATCATCATTAACATGACCATTTTTAGGATCAGTGTCCTAGATGCCAGAACCAAAATATTTTTGTGGTACTGAAGACTGAGAGGCCCCATTTCTCATAAAGTGGATGTCATTAAGATCAAAATCCCTGTTTGAGAAATACCAACCAGGTAAGTAGAAGATAACAAGAAGAAAAAGAAGAGCAGTTTACAGATTGACTGGGGGGGGGGGGGGGGGGGAGCGGGGGGGA